GGTAGAACTTTATTGATCCCACAGTAGGGAAATTCCAGTGTTCCAGCAGCAGTAAGGGACAAAAAAAACAGAGAGCAAGCAACAAGACACCATAAGAACAAATACCACACACCGATCTTGATAGACAAATTCAGAAAGCACAGAAAGAAAAAAACACAAAAGAGGACAGAGATACTGGAACTCGCTGCCACTCTGTGTGGCGCGTCTTAATAAACAAATCGAGAATACCCAAAAAACAAGACAGTACAAGCATTTCAAAACAGCAAACACCACAAGGATCTCTTAGAAACAAATCAAGAATCTTAAAAAATAATTCGAGAATACCAAAAGGACAAGACAGTACAAGCATTTCAGAGAAAGTCAGGAACAGATATTGCTCTCACTCAAATCACAGACAGGGCAGTCTGTGGTCAGAAGGGGAGGGGCGGAAGTGTATGCATTCCTAGCATTAGCATACGGTATGGTCAAGAGTTTTATTGTTCTCTATGTAGGAGGGTGGCAGAGAGGAGGAGGAAGGCATTGCATGGTTGAGGTCCCCAAGATAAGGATTAGGGCCTGCGGGTGCTGTGTCCGCCGAGACACCGTGCGCCTGCATGCAGCAGCAGAGTCAGTCCGGGGATCAGTGGAAAACTGTCCCCACGGACCACAGATCCTGGAGTCCCGGTGAAGTGCGTACGGGACCTCTCCTCCTGTTCACTCGCTGCAGCTACGCCAGCGCGGCCAGCTCGTCCATCTTGTTCCCCAGCGCCTCACTCCAGCTCCTGTCCGAGCGCTTTGCTCCAGTTCTGCAGACTCGCCCCTCTTGTCACATCCCCGTGGGAATTCCCAGAAACTCACAACAAGGAAGCCGACTGTTGGCAAACAGAGCAAACAGTCAGGGCCGCGACACAAGGGTCTCCCCGAGGCAGACTCGAAAGCTCGTAAAAAAGTACAAAACACGTTGCAAACGCAATAAAAGTTGTATCCCTGGTAGCCCAACTCCACAAGTGTTTACGGAAAAGAGACATAGCAAAAAAAGCAAACACAGAAGCCCAAGGAAACATGAAAATAAACACAAAAGAGGCAGAGCTGTTGCAGCTCCCTTCCGCTCCGCATGGAGGAAGTTGAAATACAGTGCCTTGCGAAAGTATTCGGCCCCCTTGAACTTTGCGACCTTTTGCCACATTTCAGGCTTCAAACATAAAGATATAAAACTGTAATTTTTTGGGAAGAATCAACAACAAGTGGGACACAATCATGAAGTGGAACGAAATTTATTGGATATTTCAAACTTTTTTAACAAATAAAAAACTGAAAAATTGGGCGTGCAAAATTATTCAGCCCCCTTAAGTTAATACTTTGTAGCGCCACCTTTTGCTGCGATTACAGCTGTAAGTCACTTGGGGTATGTCTCTATCAGTTTTGCACATCGAGAGACGGAAATTTTTGCCCATTCCTCCTTGCAAAACAGCTCGAGCTCAGTGAGGTTGGATAGAGAGCGTTTGTGAACAGCAGTTTTCAGTTCTTTCCACAGATTCTCAATTGGATTCAGGTCTGGACTTTGACTTGGCCATTCTAACACCTGGATATGTGTATTTGTGAACCATTCCATTGTAGATTTTGCTTTATGTTTTGAATCATTGTCTTGTTGGAAGACAAATCTCCATCCCAGTCTCAGGTCTTTTGCAGACTCCATCAGGTTTCCTTCCAGAATGGTCCTGTATTTGGCTCCATCCATCGTCCCATCAATTTTAACCATCTTCCCTGTCCCTGCTGAAGAAAAGCAGGCCCAAACCAGGATGCTGCCACCACCATGTTTGACAGTGGGGATGGTGTGTTCAAGGTGATGAGCTGTGTTGCTTTTACGCCAAACATAACGTTTTGCATTGTTGCCAAAAAGTTCAATTTTGGTTTCATCTGACCAGAGCACCTTCTTCCACATGTTTGGTGTGTCTCCCAGGTGGCTTGTGGCAAACTTTAAACGACACTTTTTATGGATATCTTTAAGAAATGGCTTTCTTCTTGCCACTCTTCCATAAAGGCCAGATTTGTGCAGTATACGACTGATTGTTGTCCTATGGACAGAGTCTCCCACCTCAGCTGTAGATCTCTGCAGTTCATCCAGAGTGATCATGGGCCTCTTGGCTGCATCTCTGATCAGTCTTCTCCTTGTATGAGCTGAAAGTTTAGAGGGACGGCCAGGTCTTGGTAGATTTGCAGTGGTCTGATACTCCTTCCATTTCAATATTATCGCTTGCACAGTGCTCCTTGGGATGTTTAAAGCTTGGGAAATCTTTTTGTATCCAAATCCGGCTTTAAACTTCTCCACAACAGTATCTCGGACCTGCCTGGTGTGTTCCTTGTTCTTCATGATGCTCTCTGCGCTTTAAACAGACCTCTGAGACTATCACAGTGCAGGTGCATTTATACGGAGACTTGATTACACACAGGTGGATTCTATTTATCATCATTAGTCATTTAGGTCAACATTGGATCATTCAGAGATCCTCACTGAACTTCTGGAGAGAGTTTGCTGCACTGAAAGTAAAGGGGCTGAATAATTTTGCACGCCCAATTATTCAGTTTTTTATTTGTTAAAAAAGTTTGAAATATCCAATAAATTTCATTCCACTTCATGATTGTGTCCCACTTGTTGTTGATTCTTCACAAAAAATTACAGTTTTATATCTTTATGTTTGAAGCCTGAAATGTGGCAAAAGGTCGCAAGGGGGCCGAATACTTTTGCAAGGCACTGTAAGTAGAGAATATCCCTAACCAACATGTCTGGGGACGACCCTTTGTGTGCTTTGTGGATTTTGTTATATCTGCCTTTTTTTAATCAAATAAAATGTGTCCACTATGCATACCATGCAAGAAAAAGATACTGTTCATATTAAAATTTGTAATGACTACTTGCCACTATGGATGCATATTTGAAAATGTATAAAGGGAAATCTGATGCAGCTGATAAAATTAACAATTGTATTATCTATGATTAAACAGGTGCTATGTCTTAGTTTGTCAGCAGAGGAAATGCTAGACCAGCCAGTACAAGCACAGACTCAGCTGATCCACATCCAGCCTCAGCCAGTACTAATACAGACCATCATCTTAAATTACATATATCATCAGATTCTATAGAAAATTTACTATTCCATAAATTTTTCTACATCATTCTGTTCTGTATATATCTACTTTTTATAGGAAAGAAGATTGTAGTGGGAGCACGGGGGTGTCAGGTGTGACTGTGTGGCAATGGTAAATGTTTATAGAATTTATAGAATGCTGTAGTAGCTAGTCCTAAAACCCAGAATTGAGTTAGCATTTTTGCACTTATGGTGCTCTTGTCCTGAATTCTAAAGGTTTTTTGAATGGGATTTTGGTTTGATGCCTAAAACAAGGTCTCTGCTTAACACAAGGACAATACGTTTTCATGTTTTATTCTATAAAACAAAATGCGTCACTAAATACCCTACTTGTGATTTTTGCTTTTATGTGTCTTTAAAAAGGCAGTTGCTAAAAGCAGCTAAATGAGTCCAAAGAGGCTGTCTGGGCAATTACGTGCCATCACAGAGACTCATCTACTCTACTCATCCTCTACACCCTGTTCACCCACGACTGTGTCACCTCCCACAAAGACAACATCATCCTAAAGTGTGTGGACGAGACCGCAGTGAAAGGTCGCATCACTGGCGGGGACGAAGCAGCCTACAGGAGGGAGGCGGCCAGTCTGGTGTCTTGGGGCAAGGACAATAATCTCAGCCTCAACACGGACAAGACGAAGGAGATGATAGTGGACGTGAGGAAGGAGAGGAGAACTCATCGGCCACTGTTCCTGGGGTTCGAGGTGGAGAGGGTGAACAGCTTCAAATACCTGGGCGTCCACATCAGTGAGGAACTCACTTGGACACTTAACACCACACAGCTGGTCAAGATGGACCAACGGCGGCTGTACTTCCTGAGGAGGATGAGGAGGTTTGGCATGTCGCCTAGGATCCTCAGCAACTTCTACAGCTGCATCATTGAGAGCATCTTGACCAGCTGCATCACTGTCTGGTATGGCAGCACTACTGCTA